CAGTCTGGCTACTGCTTTTCTTCAGGAAGGAGCACTGTCTTTGCACTGAGAACTAACTGAGTCATTTGGATAAACATTTCAAGTAGTACAGAATTGGGGCATAAAGTTATCTTTCCTTGTTTAAAAACTACAAGCATGTGAAGATCAAGTGCTGACTGAAAATGGGTCGAAGACAAAAGTAGGTAACATTTAAATTAAATCTAGCTACACTTTTGAAGCCAAACAAATGGAATCTACAACAAACCTCATGGTTTTCCTCAATAAGTACATCTGACCACACTGGCACTGCTGTGGCAGCAAGTCTAGAACCTGAGGTGGCAGCTGGAGAAGAACGTCTTCTGGATTTACAAAGTAGATTGCTGAAAATTATAGACATAATTATTTGGGAGCAAGAAGGAGGAAGCATGGGATAATTATTTTCTGTGTCTTTTAAAAATGATTTACTTATTTTAATTTTGTGCATATTGGTATTTTGCCTGCATGCATGCCTATGAGATGTTGTCCAACACTACTTCAAACAGTGGGTAGTGTCACATGGCCTGAAATCCTAGTACTTGGAAGGTGGAGGGAAGAGGATCACAAGTTCAAGGCCATCCTCAGCTCTGTAGCATTTTCTAGGCCAGCTTGGAGTGCATGAGATGCTTTCTCCAAAAACTGTTGGGGCTACTGTGCAGTGGCAGAGATAGTGCTTCCCTAGCACATGTGAGGCCCTACATTCAATGTGAGGCTCAGGAATCTAAAAAATAAAAATAAATAAAAGACCAAGTTGATGGGCTCAGCAATAACAAAAATCTAAAAAAAGCATTTTGAGAGTTTTTAATTATATAAAGTTTAATTATATAAAATGTCAAAAGTAAGTAAGTCAGCTAAAATGTATTTTAATTTTATATAAAGCTTGACATTTGGGGAAGATATAGAATAGTAATATAAGCTCTCCTCACATATGCTGAGCACAGAAAGACCACACAATCACAGACCATAAAGTTGTAATTTAAGATGATTGGTTCCTTGCCCTTTTAATTCAAAGTCATCTAAGTTTAGACAAAGACTGACATCCTACGTAGCTGTATTAAAACATCTGAATTTTCCTTTAAATCATGAAAACTTTCCAGTTATTATTTTATATATAAGCATTTCTGAAACTGGTTCCATATTCAAAGTAAGTGAAAAGCAACTTCTAGCAGACATTCATTCCACCTGTAACTCTCAGCATTCCCATGCCTATTTACAAACATTCTCCAAATTTCTTCTCTGAAAATAGAAAACTTGAATAACAAAGGCAAATCAACTTTTGTGTGATCTGAGACAACCAAGATGTCAGGATCTCCACTGGATGCTATTTCCCTGAGCCCTGAGAACCCAGAGCTCAGTACACATGCTTGATTTTAACTATAGGATTATATACTTTGCCTAAATCATAGCTTCTAAATTCCTAACTCTACTTCTGTAAAGCCCCATGCCAAGAGGATTATTTAGAAGAATAAATCTAACAGATAAAACTATATGGACAAGCCGGGCGTTGGTGGTGCACGCCTTTAATCCCAGCACTTAGGAGGCAGAGGCAGGTGGATCTCTGTGAGTTCAAGGCCAGCCTGGTCTAAAGAGAGAGTTCCAGGACAGGCTCAAAAGCAATACAGAGAAACCCTGTCTCGAAAAACAAAACAACAAAAACAAAAAAAAAAAAAAAAAAAAAAAAAAAAAAAAAAAAAAAAAAAAACATCATCTCTTTTATTATGTCAAAGCTTCTTGGTAACTATTTGTCATCAAGTACCGTCCTCTACTCATTTAGGAGCAGTTTTATGTAGGAAATAAAAATCTCCTCCCGATCCAGAGACACGCTAAGATCCCTAAACTTTCCTCTTGTTAACTACCACGAGCCAACAGTCTCAAACAGCAGTTACTGCTTATGACGGGAAGTGAAAAAGACCAAATAAATACCTTTCCACTAGAGGATGAAAGGGTTCAGGCAGATGCCCACTGCTAGCAACTGTTACTGTACCAGGTGGGGAACCCTGGTCTGGCTGAACCAGGAGAGGCACCCAGGCAAGCCCATGGGAGGCTCAAGCTATGTATTCTGGAAAACCCTGCAGTGTCAGTAGAGAAGAGCCCAGCTTTGTCATTTTCATCCTAGGTTAGACTCCATTTTCCAAGCCTCTTAACAACAACAACAAGTCTGGCTTAAGTGACACAACTAAGGTCAGGGGCTGGTTAATTCAGGGACAAGGCAGTGTCCAAAAGAAAGAGCTAAGTCAGCTTATTTAATGCCTCCCACCCGAAGCATACCACTGTTCCTACCGCCAGTTTTCAGGAGAATCGGAATTCTAAGGCTAATTTAATCTACCAGGCTTCACATTTAGAAAAGTGGAGACACGTGACTGATCTGATCCATTAATTTACATGCCAGAAAGAGAAAACCAGTGATGATAGAAACAGGTAGTAAGTACAGTTAAGAACAAGGCCACTGACTTCAGTATCTTTAATTGAAACAAACAATATTAAAAAATAAAAATAATAAGCTAATAGGGTTAACAAAGAAGTGATTTTTAGATCTGGAAAGATACTAACATGTAAACAGAAGTGAACTGACCACTCTAAACACCATGAAAAATTAAACGCCCTGTGGAAACACCAGGCAGAAGCCAAGGCCACACAAAGGCAAGAAAACTCCCTTCTAGGGCTCTAGGGGACATGCAGACCAGTGGACACTGGGGCTTCTCTGTCACTGCAGTTATCCTGGGCAGTACCTTCTCTTTTCTTCACTTCCCAACAGTGTGTGGTGCAATATCACTATTTAACTGTACAGTTTGCCTGTTGTTTCCCAAAGTGGCTGACTGACCTCCAGTTCCTGGAGAGGACTTCTCACTCCACTTTGCATCTTTCCTATCCCGGGGTCTGTTTGGTTTGGTTTTTAATTGGGGTCTCGGCTACTCTTCTTACATCCCTGACCTACCTTTTCTTCCTTCTGTCATTTCTTTCTATGCCTTTCCCTTAGAACCCACAACCTTATCTCTCCATCTTGCATGGCCGAGTTTCTCTCCACTGTCAGCCTAGGCCCCCATGCTTGCCTGTACATCTGGCTTTCCCCAGATTTGCCTCCCACTCCACGGGGTGCTGGCCTCGTTCTTGCCTGCGAACCTGTCTGGAGAGTAGCTACTGGCACATTCGGTTTGGAATTTCTCCTATCTTTCTGTGTCTTTACTGGTGGCAGTATATTGGTCTTAGCCATATCCGAGGTATTCTCCTGAGGCACTAAGAAGGTATATTTCTCTGTGCTTGCACTTCTCCCTGTTACCCTCTCTCCATCCTCCTCAAAACCTGTGACTATCTTCACCATATGCTTCTCTGTGCACAACATGTGTCCAAACAATGCTTTGGGAGCCTCCTGAGAGTTGAAGGCTCCCTTTTCTGTTTATAAATACCCTGCCATGTGAACTCATATACTCCCAAGATGTACACAATTGTTTGTGCCCGCCTCTGTGTGTATGTATGTGTGTGGGAGCCCCTGGAAGCTCTGCTGGCCCAGGTTTCTGCCTCTCTCTTCCGAAGACTATTTTTCTCTATATGCATTTAAAGTGCTTGACACTAGTGGGAGCTCAACAGATGTTAATCCTTTCCTCCACTTTTATCTAAGTATGGGAGGTCTAAGTCGGGTGTCCCTCTGCCTAATTGTGCCTGTTTCATGAGACGAACTGGAATATATTCTTTAGTAGGCACTGAGCTATTTCAGAAAGCCCCGCGGGACGTAGCTCTATCCGTCTCTCTCCCTGAATAAAATGTCACTGGTTCCACATATGGTATAGCCTTTCCCTTCGACAATGTGTCCACTTTTGACTCCCTACTCCACATCCCCCTACCACATGCCCATAATCGGCTTCCTTGTATCCTCGGGTAATTAAGTGTCTTTTGGTGCCCCACTCTTCTAAGTATGAAAGTGTTCCTGGGTTTGGACTCCAACTGCAGATTATGTGCCCCTGAGCCTCTTCCTGTAGTAGACAGGCGCTCGGAGTATGGTATGAGAGGGACACCTCAGGTTTCTCTCTGGGGCCCAGGAAGAGATCAGAGTCTCCCCACAACCTTCGGGCTCGCGCCTCGCCTGCCTACCACAGCGAGTCAGCACAGGACGAGGCGCGCCTCTCGATTACGCCGGGCTTCCGAGAATTCCTTTCCCCAGAACCTGCCGTCCTGTTCCTGGCTCTAGTTGTGTTTGAGGCTTCTGGTGTCTCACCCCGGGA